TGAATGAAATCAATATTTTTTATCAAATATTTCTTTTCCATCCGACAATGATTAATTTCATAATTTAAAAACAAATAATAAAAAAGGAAAAATGTAGCGCTTGGTCCCTAAGCTGATTGAAAATTAAATTAGAAACAAAAAAAGTCAGTAACTAGGAATCAAAGTGTGAACCCTATTAGATATATTACCTTAGTTAATTCAAAAAAATTAGGGAATATATTGTATCTTTTAAAAAAACCAAATAACCAAAGTGTTCTCGGGAAATATACCTCATATATTTGTTGGTTTAGGTGAAAACTTTGTCATAGAATGTATTATTTGTAGTAATGCTCTCTTGAGGGACTCACCTTCATGTGTGCCTCTTCCAGTGGAATTTCCATTAAGTCTTGATTTAGAGACTCTACTTAAGCCTCTCTTGAGGGACTCACTTTCAAGATTCAATAGAGAGACTAGCCTCTAAGCCTCATAGGAAGGACTCTACCTTAAAACCTTGTTTGTGGGAATCGCTCCAACCCTCTCTTGAGGGGATTACACTTAGACCTCGCTTGAAGGACCCACTTTCCAAACTTCGTATGAGGGACTCAGTTCAAACTTAACTTAAGGAACTCGCCCTTCAAACAGTCATTACCATAACTTGATGGAGAAAACCACTCTTTCTATTAAGAAGGGAGGATTGAGTCACCATATCCTCACATTCCAACCAAGCACCTGGGACTGGAACTGGTTTTCAACCACAAATTGGCTCATGGATTATGGTTTTAGATATCACATCCTCTAGGTTTTTTGGATTCATTCACTTTTTACAGATTTGACATACCTAAAACCCTATTACATTCATAGACGTGAGTCGATTTCATATGATCATTGTATTATCACAAGTACAATTATACTTTCACAAATTATTACAAGAGAATACAAAAGGTTTACAAGAAAATATTCACCAAAATTTCTGAAGAGCAAACCATATTTTTCTGTCTATGTGTTTCTCAATCTCTTCAACTTTTTATATATGAATCGCACAAGTCCTATGTGTTTAAAAATATTTCTCAACCCCCTTAGATACATACAAAGGTTCCCAAGTTCCGTAAACATAATCATATAAACCCTTTCCTCTCTAAGTTTTCTCTAAGACTGCAACATTCTCTCATTCTCTCATTATCTTAGAAATCCTGAAACTCTGGTGGGGAAGAATACTAACATCCTGAATACAACTCCGCTGGGAAAATTCATAAGATGAGGTAACTAAGATAGATGATCGAACTCATAGGAGAATTTTACCTACCATAATCCATTTTCCAAAAACATATATTTGAATGCTCCGTTGGGGAGAAATTACATCTTCACACTTTTCTTGGGGAAACAAGCCCCACAAACTCTATTGAGGAAGAAAATATACATGATTGGCTGAGGATACATGCATACTTTGCTAGGGGACACCCTGAATTTGCGAACATGCTGGGGATTTCAAGTCTTGATCCACTAGGGAGCATGTCGACTTGCTGGAGAACCCTTACTAATCAACATAATTGTCGGGGAAGTGCTACGAATTCGCTAGGGAAACGACAACTGTCGGGGAATTAGAGTCCTGAATGACAACTCTCATGGGAAAATTCCTTACTCGTGGCTCCTTCTGCTGGGAAAATAACCTTTTCATGTCTCCCTCGGAAACTAGATACCTGCTGATGAGACAGTGCATGATCGAACTCGCGGGAGGATTTTACCGGTCATAACCTACAAGAGAGAATTACTACTGAGGAGTATATCCTTCACATTCTATTGGGGATGTATTCTTTTTGTTTTGAGAAAGGACCCACAATCTGCCAGGGAGTGATACAAACTCCGTTGTGGATAAAAAACTGATTTCTACCTGTTGGGGTCCCAAGTCCATATTTGCTAGGAATAACTTCAATATCCAAGATCCGCTTGGAGTGAAACCTTTACCATCAGTTGGAGATATAACTGGACACTGCAGAGGACACGAGTCATTAAATTCTGTGGGGATGAAACTTTGAACTCTGGCAACTTCACTAGGGATGAAGCTTTAAATTATGTGGGGATGCCCCAATATCAATGATCGGTTCTTTTACTGAATAAATGCGACATTCAGACCGTCTGAAAATAACAAAAATGATCCAACTCCATTGCAAGGAAGGATTTTACATATATATTTATACAATTATTACTAATTTGTGGGGAGAACAAATCCACACGACTTAATCTTTTGTCTTTGGTGTCCATGATGGGGATCCACGTGTCTGAATATCAGTGTGGAATCCAACTCAATCAAAGATGTCCAGTAATCACATTGGGGATTTTACGGGACTATCCTAACGATAATGGTTCTTTTATTGAGTTATGCGAACTCAAAACATGTTGCATTGTTGCTGAGGAAATTCTACTGCCAAATTCTTTCACCAAGAAAAATCTTCTGAATTTGCTGAGAAATCCCTTGATAATCGGTGCCTTTACAAAGTTGCTCCAACTCAGACTGTATGCTGGTGATAGATAAGATCAACTCCTAGCAATCATTCTTGAAGAATTTTATGGATCAATTTCTACTTTCAAAGCTGCTATAGGGATTTCTGAAGTCAAGTTGTTAACCGAAAGGTTATCCAAACATGCTGAGAAAATCCAGAGAAGTTGGTTCCTTTACAGAGTTATATAAACTCTGACCACTTGTTGGGGAATAGAAAATATCAAACTTCTAGCCACAATGCCAGAAGGATTTTACAGATAAATTCTCCCACAATTGCTGCATGAGATTCTGGTGCCAAATTTCTGACCAAAGGTTTTGTCGAAACTGCAGAGGAATCTTTAAATAATTGGTGCCTTTACAGAGTTATAAAACTCCGACCACACGCTGCGAAAGAGAGGAAATTCTGAAACAAAATTCTTAACCATGAGGTTATCCGAACCTGTTGAGAAAATCCTAAAAGTTGGTTCTTTTACAAAGTCATACGGGGCTCCGACCACTCGTTGAGGAAAAGATCAAACTTCTAGCCGCGATACTGGAAGAATTTTACAAATAAATTTCTACTTTGAAGACTGTTGTAGGAAATTCTGAAGCCAGGGTCATCTAAACCTGCTGAGAAAATCCTAAAAAGTTTGTGCCTTTACAGAATCACTCAAAACTCCTACCACTCACACGATAAAAGATACAATCAAACTTTTAACACCACGATTTGAAGGATTTTATAGATCAATCTCTACACTAACTGCTGAAAAGTGCCCCACTATCTTGGGAATGATGCCTTTGTAATGAGCGAAGCGAAATAACCTAGGCATCCTGATGATTGGTGTAATTGAAAGCCCATCATTGCCATACAAACTCTTGACCATCCCAAGGACGTGGCAAACATCGTGCCCCCGTTTTAGAAAACTTGCAGAGAGTTACGAACCATTGGGAGTCTCATATGAAAATGTCCCAGTTCTGAAAAATTCACACAGGAACTGTATCTCACCAACTTTCAAGTCAAACATGCCCCAGTTCAAGAGGACTTTTGCAACAACAAGATCTTAGAGCATTGCCCCAGATTATACCGTTCTGACAACTCCCTAAATCAGTGTCTTTGATTAACTGTACCAATAAAACAACTCTTCTTTGCTTACCAAAAATTATTTGTCTTGATTAGTAGGAGAGCCTGAGAAAACCAGATGAACATAGCCCAAACCATTGCCCAAGATTGCTCATCATTGACTTGCCTTTGATGTCAAATACCTGTTGTGAGTACAATTTGTTCCCATTGATGGTAATTAAAAACTTTTTTATGCATATGCAAAGTAAAACACGGATAACAAACATAAAGGTAAAAACAACAACAAATTTTAAAACAAACAACATAATAATTACAAATTTATCATCAGGAGTCAGTTTACGCAATCCCACAGGTAGCACACTTTTGAAAGTAACCCTTGCTTCAATTAGGACTTTTAAGGGTTGTAATGTGGTCTGGTTCATGGTTTAAGAACAAAAGGATATTAGGCTCAAAACATTTGGTACCCACCCTATCGTGATGTTCTCCAGTCCTACATTCAGCTGACTCAACATATACGTCCATTTTTAACATGGTCGTGGCTTAATAGATCGAGAACCAATGATATTTTTGGGAAAACAATCACCCTTTCTTCCTTTGGCTGTCATACAAACTACTCTTTTGTTGTGGATTTTATTGTTATCCTTCTTTTGCACATTATGAGCTTCCCAACTTTCAATTCGAAAGGGACTCGACTCATTCTTTGATTGAGGATTTTACTGATCCATTTAATGTGCATAATGAGCTTCCCATCATTCATTTTGCAAGGGACTCAACTCATATTTTTTATTGAGGATTTTTACTAATCTAGATTTTTATGCGCAGGGTGACATTTTGACCTTCCCAACTTTCATTTGGAAAGGGACTCAACTCGTCTTTCTGATATAGGATTTTTGATGTTATCCTTTTTGTTTATCACCCTTTTTGCACTAATTTTGAGCAACTTATACGACCTTGACTTGTCGAAAGGTTTATGACTGCCCCAATTTGAAAATTTGCAGAGATCAACCATTTTTGTTTGCATTTTGGACATACGATCAAATAAACTGAATACTACCCAAACCCGGGTTATATTTGTAGGTTAAAATATTTTCCGAAAAAGAACTCCTACTTCAAGGCTCAAAGGGGTTATCAAGGGATTCACTGCCTTATTTCTCCACAGTTTGGGGATTTGAAACGATGCCTCACATCTTCAGCACAATCTCAATCGATAGCATACAAATAGTGATTGGATATTCAGTTTTCGTCATTCTCCCTCCAAATATTTGCCTGCAAGGAAAACACAAATAATACATTTTTTTTTTGCATTAAACACAGAAAATAATAGTGAAACGAATGGATTTAAACAGAAAATGCAATGCTCATTTTATTTATTACCAATGAAGGGAATGCATATTCAACACAAATATTTATTTTACACAACAAAGGAAATACAATAAATTGCGAATACAGAAAGCAAATAGCCTATCAATCTACAAACTGAGGAGCGAGCTCTTCGACTGATACACCGGATAAAACAGACATTTCGAGCGCTTGCCATCTTCGGGTATTCCCTTCACCGTTATCAAACATAACTGGCCTATATTTCCTAAAAATCCTGGAAATTAATTTCCCCAGTCTTAACCAAGTGTTGAACTCCGTCTTTAAGGACGTAACAATCCTCCTTATCATGGTCGGGCCCATCTGAGTGCAAAGCGCACCTAGCCTCTGGTTACAAATTCCATCCCGGGTTAGCAGGCACAGAGGGAGCCGGTCTTTTGTTAATCAATCCCTTTGTAAGTAATCTGGATAACAAAGTAGTGTAAGTCATGGGGATAGGTTCATACGACCCTCTTGCACATTGAACTGTATGTGGATTTTGGCCTGTGCCTTGAGCTGGTTGCTGTGGCGGCTTCTAATATTAGGGATATGGTTGATATTGTGGTGCCATATGAGGATACTAAGGCGTATATTATGGACATGGCAGACCATTTGGCGTGACTGTGACGACCTGTGGATAATAGACCGGAGTTGGAGCTGGAGTCTGAGTTACTTTATGAGCTGACTGGCTACTCTCCCCTTTACTTCTTCATTTTCTACTATGGTGAGATGATGCACTTGTATATCCATCCTTCTTTCCTTGGAAATCCCCAAACTTCTTAGAGCCATTAGTCTGAGCGGGCTCTCGAACAGTTCGTCCTAGACAAACTCCTTATTTTACCTGAGCACTAGGCATGGCAACAAGGCGGGTCGGGGGCGGGTTTTAGCACCCCCAGACCCGCACCCGCCTCATAAATCCAGACCCTCCCCTGCCCCCAAACCCGGTTGGGGCTAATAATTGATCACCCTCCCCCGCCCCCAACAAAGAACGGGGTTCCCCGCACCCGCCCCACCCCCACCCGTATAAATTATATATATATTTTTAAAATGTATATTTTTTTCCAACAACAAAAAAAAATCAATAATTAAACTAAACAATTTAATATTTTAAAAATAATATACTACAAGATAAATTTATTTAATTTTTATTTTCAAAAAATTAAATAATAGTTATAATAAACATGATATTGTAAGATTAATAAATGTAAATTAATAATAAAATTATTAAAAATAAAAAATAAAATAAATTTAATAGGCAGGTGCGGGGCGGGTGCGGGTGCGGGTTGAGTACTAGTATCACCCACCCCGCTCCGCCCCCGCAAATAAAACCAGGTCTCCCCCGCCCCGCCCCCGCAAATAAAACCAGGTCTCCCCCGCCCCCGCCCCCAATTAAATAGGATTTTCCCCGTTAATTTTGGGGTGGGGGCGGTCGGGGCCCGGCGGGGCCGGATTTATTTGCCATCTCTACTGAGCACTAGCTGTTACTAGCATCGCGAAGTCCCGTTGCATGCTGAACATAAAATGGCTATAGTAGAAATTGTCCAAAGTTTCTAGAAACACGCTGCATAACTCTTTCTCCTCTAAGGGTGGATGAACTTGAGCAGCGAACTCTCTCTAGCGTTGGGCATACTCCTTAAAGGATTCTCGTTCTTTTTTGTGACATCCTTCGCAACTGATTGCGGTCTGGAGCCATATCGAGATTATATTTATATTGCTGGATAAATGCCTCCCCTAGCGCGTGAAAGTCCGGAATACTTGCACTCTCTAAGATCATATACCAACGCAGAGGAGCTCCTGTCAGCGAATCCTGGAAGTAGTGAATTTAAAGTTGGTCATCCTTTGTATGTGCCGCCATCTTGTGGCAATACATGACCATGTGAGCCCGAGGATAAGTACTTCCCTGATATTTTTCAAAGTCCGACACTTTGAAATTTGGAGGCACCTTTACATTCTGTACTAAACACATCTCGTATGCATGCTTTCTAAGCAGATCTTTAGAAGATAAAACATTCAATTTTCTTTCCAAATCCTCCATTTTAGTTTTAACAACAAGATTTGCAGTATTGTGAGCATTCCAGTCTTCTCCAGCCCTTTTATATCGGTATGCTTGTTCTTCCTCCTGATTATGAACAATCATTACCGGTACAATTGAAGTGTTGATTGGGTTCCCCATTAGCGCAATCACTTGTGTACTAAAGTGGCCAGGCCCATCAAATATTGAGTTCCCCCCCCCTGGGGCAGAGAAGTGAAAACCATAATCTTGGGCAGCAGAAGTAACATTTGGCTAGATAGGTCATGGAGGAAGAGTCTGAGGTCCTCCAAACTGAGCAGCAGATAAACCAAACACATGAGTGCTTCCAAATTAAGCACAAATACCATGAGAAAAACCAGAGCAAGATCCAAAGGTGTTCAAACCAGACTGATCACCAACGGACGAAACTGCTTTCCTATAAGCGAAGGGGTTCTCAAAACGATGTGCAATGTTGTTTGGCACAGTAGTAGCAGCTGGAACATTAGTACCCAGAATAAAAGTAGGCACAATACCTGACGAGTTTCCAAATTCAAATTGTCGAGGATTGCCCCACATTTCAGAGACAGATGGAGGAACAGAAACAACTAGACCTTCTTCAGTAGTGACACCAGGAGAAGCCACTTGTTGCTCGAGACGAGCCATCAAATTATTGTAGGCCTTATTGAGGTCTGACACCTCAGTGTGGAGCTCAACATTCTTACACACGAGATTTTCCATATTTCTAGGAAAATTGTTCCGAGTTGAATAGCGATGTACAACTCGAATATAGAACATGATCAACTTCTTGACAACACCAGATCGAAACAGAATAAGGACAATGCGATAGATAAATGATGCTATGCATATGATGCATGAATGCACGTGCTTTTTGTTTTACTTTGTTTTGTTTATTTTCTTCTTGTTGTTTCAAAAAGAACATTTTGCCTTTTTTTTTTCTAAAAGAATATTTGTTTGTGAAGACGATTTCAAACTTGGCATGAGACTTATTTTTAGGCAACCATCCAAAGGGACTATCCGATTTATTCTTTTTCCGAAGGCAGCAATCGAGGGTCACGAGGGACATACCAGTATTTATCCTAAGTGACTATCGAAGGATTTATTAGTATTTTTATCCGAAGGGACAAATTGAAGTTTCAACTAGGGACATACTGATATAGAATCCAAAGGGTCGTCGAGGGTCGTACTGGTATTTTATAACCGAAGGTTCATCGAAGAATAAACTGGATTTATCGAGGGAATGAGTGTCTCATGCGCCTCACATACCATCTCTTTCATCTTCACAAAAAAAAATTCTATGCATGAAATGTCATGATGCATGAATGCATGAACAAGCAATGCAAGGTTTTTATTTTTGTTTGAGATCACAAGCATGGAGTTTTGGTGGTCAAGGTGAAGCCCTCCTCCCCAAGGTGTGTACTAGGGTTTAGATATCCTAAGCGACGATTCTAAAGGTTCTCAAAGTCCAACCCATCTCAAAGTTATTATCTATGCATCATAATCATAATGTCCAATAATAACCCCAAGAGAGTCTACTCTGAGTGTGGTACAATGTGGTGATAAACTTAGAGAAGAACACCCTATAAGATGCCACGACCATGTTCCTAAGAAGTCAAGATGGGCTTTGTATATCTAGGTCCATTGGATCGTCGACTGGAAACCCAAAAGCCCTTCACTAATATGTCCAACCAGACATTTCTTGATGGGAATAAGCAAGTCTCACCAATGTTGGGCTTCTTCAAGGTCATCCAAATGACAATCATCAAGTGGACTTTCCAAGACTATGCCACCCTATCTTATAGTTCACTAAAGCTTGGATCTAGCTTGTCTCACAACATATTTGAATCACCCTTATAAATAACACAAGCATATAAAGAAACAAGCTCAAAGAAACAAAGTAGACTTGACTCACTTATGATTTTCCCCAACAGAGTCTCCACCTGTCACGACACAATTTTTGAATGCGAGGTATAGAAGACCAAGATCCAAGAAAAAACAAGAGTCACCACCGTCCTTTATTTACTCTAAGAGAAGAGAGTGAAAATAACGATAAAACCACATCTTATTGAGAATATGGGTAAGTTGTCAGGTTATGCGAGGGGAAGGTGTTAGACACCCCTCACATCCTTGGTACTCCAAGGGAACCACTTTTATTTCCTTATTATTGCTTGTTTATTAAGTGATAGAAGAAAACGGGGGAGATTTATTTTATGTGGACTTGGGAAGATTTATGTAGACATCTTTTGCCTACATACCCCCTTGTGCAATGGGAGATCAAAATCCTCGTAGTTCCCCTAAGGTATTTTTGTGTGTTGTGTTCATTTTAGGGTTTCCTACTTACTGAGGTTAATGTCCCAAGTGGGAAAAAGGTGAAAACAAAAGGAAAACAAAGTGAGTTGGGTGTTTTTTATTTTGTCTTTTATTTAGTCATATCCTTTACTATATTGCTTTTATGGTATTATTTACATACAAAGGGTGGTAATATCTACATTTACGATTTGATGACTTTTTACAAAGTTTTACAAAAGCAAGTAAATTTAATTTAAGTATAGTATTTTTAACATTTTAATTTCTTTATTTAAGGCCTTATTTACAAAGTTACAAAGCAACAAGAAAACATGAATAAATAAAACAACAATGAAGCCCTCACTTGGCAAATTGGCGGGCTCGCTCCTTACCATTTCCTTGCTTGTATTCACAATGACACAAATGAATGCTTAACAAGTTATGATTTAAATGATACATGATAAAGTACGAATGTTAGTAAATTCAACATTATTATAATACTATGTACAGTAGGTATATCAACTTGAATGAAGAAATTAACAAGAGAAGATGAATCATATACAATGTGACTTTAAGAAAGAGTAATCATGTACAGAACTTTGTTGATTTTTAAACTCAAACCTAGAAGTTTCAAATGAAGAAAAGTTTGGAATATTAAATGTTCCAGTAGGTGTGTAAAACTTTCATGATTTTTTGTAGATTTTTAGAAAATTATTTGCTTCAGTTTTGAGGTTAAAAACCAAACAATACACAAAAAACAAAGTCAAACAAACTTAATTCAACTAAAAAAAGTCTAAAAATATTCTATGTAAGATGAAAATATTATTGAGCTTCACATTATGGTGTATTTACATGTTAGGAACAGACACAAGAAGTTTCAAAATAAAATTCTAAATGAGTTAGAAATTATGTAATCTTTTATGGACCTAACCAACTAGAAAACCCTAATTTAAGCCTAGTTTGAATACCTAAATGGAACAAGACCTAAATCTATTGTCCAAAGGGGACTACCCTACATACAAATTGTCTAACAAGGTCAGGGACCTAAGGGAGAATATTTTTGTGGTTTCCCACTAAGTATGAATTATCTAATCAATTAAACTCAAATGAATACAAAACGATCGACAAAATAAAGTCAAAAAATCAAAGTCAGTAAAAATAGGCAAATTATACATGATTGGAAAGAGAAAAATAAATGCAACAAAAAACTCTAAAGGGGTCAGATATGATTCTAAGTCAATAAGAAAATATTGAGCAAATACTCAGGGGGACAATTAGTAAAATGGGAGTAAATTGAGTAAAATAGGCCCAACACATAGCCTCTGAAGCCCAAATGGCACTTTGAGAGTGCTGGTGATCCAGCGTTTCTCTTATTTCGTGATATCATGGTTTCACCCAATCTAGGACTTTTATTTCTTGAAACTAAATCCTGGCCACTTATCTTGAAATGATATTTTAGTGTTGGAGCTAAGTCCTTTGAAAAGTAAGACATATCAGTGGATTGCAACCATTCTTACAAGTAAACCCTCCAATGCACTAACAATCTCACAAACTTAATTTAAAGAACCTGGTTTAATATGTAAGCCAAGAGTTTTATATGTTGAACCGTTTTTTAAGTGAGTGAACCGAGAATTTTTAGTTGAACCCGTTTTGTTCAATTCTTCTCAACATCTTCTCCTCACTCTCACATCAAACGCACAAACACGAAGAACACCCATGGAGTTCGTCCCCTATATCCCAATTTCCAACTATTCAAGCTAGAAACTATAATTAAACTAGGAAATTGATCCCCATTTTCAACCTACGTCCAAACCCCCACCCTCAATCTCATCAATAATCACCAAATTGCCCAAGATTCGTCCAAAACCACGAACACTAGATTCCTTGAATGCGGAGAACGAAACAATGAAAGGGTAATACCTCAAGATGAAGGGTTGATTATTGCTTTAAGAAACTTAAAACGAACCTTTGAGCATTTTTTATCAATGAAAAGGGGCTCACCAAAGTTATGAGGTATGAAGATTCCGACGAATCAATGCGATTTCCGGCAACTGAATCCCAGATTCCAGAGACTTCAAAGGGTGTGTTATTTATGCTTCCTCCCTCTTCGCTTCACCTTCTTCTTCTCTTCTTCTTCTTTCTGAATTGATGAGACTTTGATTTTCCTTTTTTTGATGTTCTTCGTTGCTTCTGTATGTTCTTCTGTATGATTGTAATTGCTCTGTGTATTTTCCTTTTCTTTGTTGTATTTCTGTTGTGTGTGAGAGCTGAAAGAATGATGATGATAATTGAGAATGAGTATGAGAGTTACATGGTGTTGTGTGATTATGAGAATGGTTGTTTAATCATGAACTGAGAGGGTGGTGATATGTTGCAAGGTGGTGGGGGTTGATAGTTTCAGGTCCTCTTGCTCAGGGCTTCGAGGTGAAGCATTGAAAATAATGTTTTTTGAGCTTTAGTGAAGAGTTAGGTCATGATTATTGAGGTGATGATGGTGAATGGGTGTGTGGTGAAGGAAAGAAGAATAATGAGAAGTGGTGAGGTATGAGAAGAAGATGAAGGTTCAGTGATGGTGACTGAGATATAAGGGAGTTGGGGTAGGTTATTAGCTGTTGTTGAATGATATGAGTAGATGGGACTAGGAATGAGTGATGTTAAGAGGTTATTGAATGGTGATAATAGGAGAGTTGAAGGATGACTGTAGCATCAAAAAATGGAGAGTGGAGGGAAGAGATATGATGGCGATAAATGAATCGAGAGCCCCTTTTTATTCTGTTAGTTAGCTTTTTATTCCCAAAAAACCTCAGGGAGTTAGTTACTAGTTGGTTATAGGTTGTTAATTGATTGGAGGTTAGAAGTTAGTTTCTTTTTGTAACAGAATTCTGTTAGGAAGTTAGGATATGGTTAGAGAAGTTAGAAGTTAGGGGCAGTTAGAGGAAGTTTGTTAAGTTGTTAGGGATTAATTACAAACTGTCAGGACAATTAGAAGTTGGTTAGGGGTTTGTTAAAATAGTTTTTTTTTTGAACTGAATGGTTAGTTAGAAACTGTTAGAGGAGATTTAGTTGAAGTTTTAAAATTAGTCTCAAAATCTGTTTTGTAGTTAGGTAGGTTAGGAGGGTATTTGATGGAGAAAATGAATGCAAGTTAGTTATAGAAATGTTTTAAATTTACGTGCAGGGTTGGTATGTATGAAAGTGTTAACATGGTTCATGCTATTTCTTTTTGTTCTCAAGTTCTGATATGTGAATAACCTGATGTACATAAACCTTGAACGGAAGCTGCTTTATTTGGCAAACTTATTAAATGTAAGTGACATGTTTGGATATGGTCTTGTATGCTTATGATGCTTGTTGGTATTGCAACTTGAACTTCACTTAGAGGATGAATGGTGTGGCAGCCAAGAAGAAAATAACTTGGGCATGGATGTTACTTG